ACAGAATTTGATGTCAGAAGAAGTAATTACAGATTTCAATCACTCAGAAAAACTTTGTGAATATCACTGTGAAACTCAGAAACATTGGTCTAATAAAGTATTTATCACATCCTTACTGACACCAGTTTTTCTTCTTTAAAAAAAAAAAAGATGGGCCAGACACTGAAGTGGTAGTTAAGGAAGCTGGATCAACACAGCCAACTATGTGGTTCAAGTCCCAGACCTGGCAGCTTGAAAAACATGCCGGGGTGCAAAATCTCTAAAGGAGAGGTGGAGGAAAAGGACTGGCCACCCCCCATGGGGATGCTTTCTCACTTTGTCTCTCCTCTCTCTCTCCAGATTTTTTTTAAAAAAAAAGAAGGCTGGCCCCACAGCACAATGGTTAAGCAATGTGCATCGCAAGCTGGATTCTAAAAGGTCAAATCCCAAGCCAGTGAGTTGTTTAACACTGCAGGGCACATGTGCATGTGTGCTCAAAATTCAGAGAAATGAACAAAAAATTATTATGGAGTAATCATACTCCATTGGGGAGGAGATACTTCCTCTCTTTCTCTACCCTCTCCTCTCTAGTAAGTATATGTACTCTTTGGCAATGCATATAAAGAAAAAAAGAAGAATCATAATTGCTTTAGAAAACTTATTTGAGAAAAATAATGTCTAAAAAATATAGCTCAAAACAAGAGTTTTAAAGATGAATGCTACAATTCATCAGCTTTAAAAAACCTCAGAAAGGCTGACCATGGCCTAGTGTCTGAGGGAGCTAGATCCCATATGGTTAACTGTGTGGTTTAAATCCCAGTTCCAGTGGCGTAATAAACATGCTGAGCATGTTTGTCTGCATGCCCACAATCCCAATAGGATGTAGAAATGGAGGAGAAGGGACTGCACTGTAACCACACTCAGTGCTGAGGGTGGCTTTCTCCCTCAGTCTGTCTCTGTCTCCCTTTGATGAGTATATGTGCCCTCTGGCCAACAAAAACAATGAAAAAAGAAACCTCAAGATTATTTTATAAATTTAGGGACCAGCAGTTAGCATAATGGCTCTGTCGCTGGACTTCCATGTAGTCGACCGCGGTTTGCGTCCCGAACCCAGTAGCTTAAACTCACACCGGGCACATGTGCGTGTGTGCCCAAGATCCCGAGAGGAGAATGGAGGAGAAGGGATTGCGGCGTAGCCATCCCCCCGAGGGGTGATTTCTTGCTCTCTATCTCTCTGTCTTTCTGGCGAGCGCACGTGCCCTATAGCAAAAAAAACTCTCAAAAAAAAAAAAAAAAGATTATTTTATAAATTTAATAATCTGAAAAATCCATGTAAGTCTACATTGAGAAAATTCTTAGGTGGATGAAAAAACATCTATATGGGTTAATTTTAAAGTAATGTCTACTAATCTACCAAATACCAATCAAAACAGAAAGAAACACCTCAACTCCAAGCTGTAATACACTTTCCTCCCTCCTCTATCATCTAATTAGTTGGTTTGTCTGTCCTATTTTTCTACCTTACACACTGCTTTCTTTTTTGGCATGTTAACTAACAATAAAATTAATGATAAAATTGGAAGGACATTTCAGGCTTCTGAAACTAGGTCCCCATAAACATAATGTATAAATATTTAAATTAAAGCAATATTAAAAATGATTATCCATATAGTTTTAAGGTCTCTAGTTATAAAATTCTACCTACAAATATATTGAATGAGAATGAAGATGGTATATATATTTAAGTTTCTCTCTTCAGTATCTAGTTCTAACTGCCTAAACATTTTTGGAGAATTATACTTACTTCAAATCTCTGTGATCATACTGTGTAGAGTACTTTAACTGGGCTGGGTAGACTCAATATGTAGGATATATAAGTGATTCCAGAAATATAGCTACTAAAGAGTAATTTCAACATAATACTTAGTGTAGGCTAAATCATTATGGAGAACCATCATGGGAATCAATTCTACCCTTATAACTCAGACCATATAAATCCCAAATATGATTTCTTAACATTTTTCAATCAAGTCTTAAGGACTTTTAAATGTGATTATTATAGGCAGGCCTGTAGGTATACTACAAACTCATCCATAGGGACTTTTCAAAATGCCATTAATTACATCCACATATAGAATTAGGTAAGATATGTATATAGAAATTCATGTCACTGGAAAAAAAAAAAAGGAAGTGCAAAAAAGGATAAAATACACTGGAAAACTTCTGTTATCAGTTAAGCTTATGTCATACTGTTTTAATGGAAATGCAGATAGTAATGTAATCTTGCCCTAAACTAATGTGTCATGTTCTACAGGTGGCCAAAATGGAACATGAAGACAGAAAGGGTTGCAGAAAAGAAGAAAAACAGACAAGGAAGTAAAGAAGAAAAAAAGAAAAGGAAAGAAAAAGGAAAAGAAAGAAGGAAGAAAAAACCCAACTTTGGCATGTCACTATTAATGGTTAGACTTCTCAGGACACTAAAAAACTATGACTTATATGTGTTATCATACCGATCTTTTTCAAATGTCCAAGCAAATCTTATTAAATTATAGGCTGTAAATATTAAAAGCACACCATTAAAATCAAACATAGGAAATTAGCTTCCCTAATGTAATGAAATAACACTAATCAGTAGTGTTTAATAAAATAACACTTATCAGTAGCATAACAATTATTGCTAAGAAACGGTTTAATATTTGCTATTACTATTCTATGTATTTTCATTTGCAGAGTATTCTTAGTACTAAGTAAATGTCAACAGTTGTCCAATTAAACGAAAAAAATAATAATAAAGGAAAAATTCTGGTAAAAAAATTACTTTTTTTTAGTTTCAAAAAACAAATTCTATGTAAATATCACTCAATATACCTAGTATTTTTATAGGTTTTTCAATGTAAAAAAATACTTTCTAAAATATTATCTTAACCTGATCTACAGATAATCTTGATATTTAACATGCTTATCTTTTTTATTTAACTATTGGAAACTGCATTTTATGCCTACTTCTAAAAATAAGTTGGGCAATTAAATTGATTTTGACATTTCATTGTCAACAAAATAATATCTTATAAAATTAGCAGTTAAAGTCAGCATTAGTGACAAATTATTACAAGAGTTAACTCCAGTGACAAATTACTGAAAGTCTTAAAAATGTAAATACATTACAAGACAATGGTGGACATATGATTTCACATAAACAAAAAATAAATAGCTAAAATATGATTGTACCCAGCACCCTCTTTATAATACCATTTTTTTATGGTTAAGCATTTCAAATGTTATAAAGAGGAGTTGTTTTTAACTTGAGGGCAGCTATACTTAATTCTGTGGTGTTTTTAAACTATATATTTATAGGAGAGAGCCTTATAATGAGGGTGGAGAGTATTAAAAGCCACACTACACACACAAGAGGCCATCATGCATTTTAACCCATTATTAAACTTACCCCTCTTTTGAGGCTTCTGAAAGAAGGAATTCTGGGCTTCCCTGTTTTTATTTCATTCATACAATAATGCACGGGCTCAATGGAGAATGTGAGAAACTGGGACCCATTAGGAGTACTGGATGTGAATAAACTAGTAGGGGTTAAGGGTGGGGACTGTGGCTAATATGGAAATAAAGAAAGGAATCAATAAGCCAAATGTGCATTGTTTTTCCTAAATGAAAATTCTATTTTTGGCAACATACTTTTCACAAAATATATCTCAAATAAAGTTTTCTATAAAAATATTATAAGTAAACAGTTTTGCCCAAAAACTATCACTTTAAAAATCAAATCTACCTTTAAAAATGTACCATTTTCACTTGATACTTTTTTTTTTTTACAGACTGACAGATTAAAAATATACCATACACAATTTATAATGTTAGAGCAATATGACCTAGGTTAAAAAAAAAAAATTCTCTCCTCATTTCAAGAGTATTAGTACCACCATGGACACCTGGTTACACATAACCTGTACTTGTCAAGATATAAAGACAGGGACTACAGTGGAAGTAATCTAAACAGGTAATGTAACACATAAAATGTTAAGCTGTAACTAATTATTATCACAAGGAAGCAAAAAAAATTCCATTATATTCAAGGCTTTCCTCTCAGACTGTTCACTTCACCCCTAGTTCATTTCATTTTTTTCCCTTTTATTTCAGTATTCCTTGTATTTTCGAAGCTAAGTACTTCAATAGGACTAAAAAAGGTCTTACCTCTCAACTCTTGACATTATTAAAGGCATGAATAAACCTGAATAAATTTTAATTGTGCTTACGAATGTAACAATTCAAGTTAAATTTTATCTATACTCATCTGCCAACATAAAAAAATTAAAATAATCAAGTATACTTTAATAAATATAGCACATCAGATTAAAGGCATACCTATTCTCCTTAGTAATACGACACTATTAGTATCACTTAATTGATAAGAAAGACAAAGGATTCATCTATTCTTCTTTCTCTCCGGTTGAGTTAGATTTATCTACCTAAAATAAACAGCACATCCAAAGGTTCTAACAAGAAGAATGAGGTTCTCTTAGCAAACTAGAGCTTATTTAAACTCAATCAACCAAGAATACTGAGACCTTCCCATTAAAAACTCATATAGAGAAACATACTTTCATTAATATAATCTGTTAAGACCTAATATGATATTTATTATTCCTATAGTCATTCATTCCGATTGAGAATTGCAACTTTAGTGGTCTATTTTAGCTGGATTGTGTTTCTTTAGAAATGGATAAAACTGTATGAAACTTTAAGAGTATATAATTTAACTAGATATCAACAGTTTAGCTAATATTCTTACTAATTATTAAGTGGTGGTCAAATGTTAAATCTAGAAATTATTTTTATTCTCATGATATGAAACTGTATGTTTCCAAATGATTAAAGTGTTAATTAAATCATTCAAGTTGAAAATACTTATCTTCCATTAATAGTAAAATAATCATCCATTCGATACCTTCATTGATTTAACTGACAAACTAAAAACACGGATTAGCATATAGTAATTTTATGACTTTTACCTTTGGCTTCTTTCCAAAGAGCCACAATTTGCCCTTGGCCTTTCCTACTGTGGTTTTGGCATCCATCTTCCCACTCTCTTGCTTGGATGCGCTGATAGTCCCATCAGAAATGGTTCTATAAATGTGCTGACTGTAGTCTTCAAAGGGAAAGTCTCCTGGAGGTTCAAAACCAGATTTGAAGGAGTCTACCACCATTTGAGAGTCCTAGACATAAGAAACATTAGTTTTTAAAACTATTTCATTTGCTTATAATACATCAATTTTCAAAAATTATCAGTGCAAGAAAATAATAAAAATTAAAGAAATAACTCTACAGCAATTATTAATAGTTTAAAGTGAATAATTTCTTGGGAATTTGTAATAAACTCTAAATATTTTAATGCCAACAGAAAAATATACTAACTTACAAATTACTTAATTAATCTGTAACATTCATAAAAGATTTTTACTCAGTAGCTTCAACCTCTTGAACATTAATCTGAAGACTAATTGGTTGATAAAAAAGAACCAATTGACAACAGTAATGCAGAATGAGGTTACCATCAAGTAGAAATTCTGAGATGTTTTGAAGAAAAAAATCTTTACTGGGCCAGCTTCATGGCACAGTGGTAAGCAAGGGAACCAATATGCCACATGGCAACTGCTGTTCAATCTTGGCCCTAAAGCATGCTGGGCATGTGCATGAGGGCCAAAGATCCAAAGGACTGGAGGACCAGATAAAGGGGATTGCAGTGTGACCAGATTCTGTGGAGGGTGTTCCTCTCTTTCTTTGTCTCTCCTTCTTGTGTATACCTGCTCCATCACGAATAAAGAGAAAAAAAAATTTTTTTAAAAGAAAGTTTGCTTTTAGGGATGTCTACAAGGAGTTGATTATTGGAATGAGGAAAATGTATCAAATTGTAAAAGTAAGAGAAGAGGAGATAGGCTTTCATTCCTCCAACAGGGGAAAAGATAAATAAAATATATTATTAAATATATACTGTGAGATATTATGAGAGTAATAGGCAAAGATCTTGTAAATGGTACTGAGTACAAAAAGTACATTTAAAAAAAAAAGTGCATTTAAAAATATAAAGTTTAGGGACTAGCAGATAGTATTATGGTTATACATCACTGGACTCTCAAGTAGTCAACAATGGTTCAAGTCCTGGACCCAGTAGTTTAAAACTCATGCCAGGTGCATGTGTATGCGTGCCCAAAATCCTAAGAGGAGAATGGAGGAAAAGGGATTATGTTGTGGTCATCCCCTCTAGGGACTGATTGATCACTTTCCATCTCTCTGTCTCTCCAGCAGGCACACATGCCCTATAGAAAAAAATCTCTCTTAGGGACCAGCAGTTGGTGTAATGCTATGTCACTGGACCGTCATGTAGTCAACTGTGGTTCGAGTCCTGGACCCAGTGGCTTAAACTCACGCTGGGTGTGTGTGCATGCATGCCCAAGATCATGAGAGGCGAATGGAGGAGAAGGGATTGCAGCGTGGCTATCCCCCCAGGAGGTAATTTCTTGCTTTCTGTCTCTGTCTTTCTGGCAAGCTCACATGCCCTATAGCAAAAACCTCGCCAAAAAAAAGAAAAAATCTCTCTTAAATAATATAAATGTTTATTTAATATCATTTACCTAAAACTTAATTCACAGAAACATTATATACTGTTTTTAAACATACATAGCTCTACCTAAATGTTTTGACATCTTAAATTCATTCTTTTCCACTAGAATACTTGATCTCCACAAATTCCTTCCTACCCCTAACACCTTTTTCTCTTTTATTCTCTATTTCTACTAACAGTACATTCTATCATTTAGTCGAAAGTGAACTTTACATCATACCTTACTTTCATCACTAGTACTATCCTCAGCAATCATTTGCTAAAAGATAAGAGGAATGAGAAAAGAGGGACCCATCTATATTGTGTAATCTTGGATCAAGCCACACTGAAATATATATGTACTTTGGAACCTCCCAATTAAAAAGGTCAACACTCCTCTTTTCTTTTTAAAATTTAAGTGAGTATTCTATTAGTAGTTATGAGAAGGTTTTTCACTAATGTAATATATACCAGACAGGTTTGCTGTAATGACAATGATAGGTATATTTGACATTTCCCAAACCCTAGTTTTCTTCTCTTACTCTTCCTTCATAGCCTCAGTTTCCATCAACCATGTTTTTTAATCACTCAATCAAAATGTAATCAGAAACGACCAAATACAAGACTCTGCTACACCTTAATCAAGATACTGGGCCATCTCCATAGCCTACTGGTTAAGGGAATCAGATCCCACATTTAGCCATGGTTCAAATCCCATCCTGCAGCAACTTGGAAAATATGCCAGGCACATATGTATGCATGTCTGAAATCTGGATGGGATCAAGAAATGGGGAAAAAGGGGTTGTGGCATGATCACACCCCACCATTAGGTGCTTTCTCCCTCTCTCTCTTTCTCTAGCAAGTGCGAGTACCTCTGGCAATTAAAAAAAAAAAAAGGATACATTGTGATTAGATGTACTTCCTTAAGGGAAAAAAGGCTAAGCTGTTTCCTGGACTCATAATGCCCTCTTTCCACTTTCTCATGAGTCAGTTGCCATTTTACACATTACCTATGTTTCTTGATCTGGTTTAAGTACCAACTCTTATGTTAAAGTCAACTCTGACAATTACAGATTTGTCTGACCATGTCCTTCTCTATACTTTCACTAATCATAGTTTGTATCACACAATTTATACACTTGGATTAAGACTGAAAAATTATTGGTGAGAAAAGAGTGGAAAATCTTTTTTAAAAAAAGAATGAATTAGAATTATAGCACTTAGAATGGTCTTTTGAGTCCTAAAGAGTTTAATCTATTATAAGACTTTCTTCTACAGAATATAATTAGAACCAACTACCCAATCATATTACTTCTCCCCTCTTCCTACTCATTTTACTAAAACTGTACACCCAAACCAAATACACATATTCAAAAACAATTATACAGCACTTACTCTTCTTTCATCAACAGATTTGGCTGCAAGAATCATTCCTTCCAAACATTTTGAAATGATAGGAATAACTTTGCGTTCTGAGTCTGCAAATCCTCTGTAACACTCACTGAGTTTAATTGTCCTTCGTTCATCCATTTCTTGTAGTTGCTAATAATCAGAAATTTTTAAAAAAATGGAAAACAAAATTTTCTTATCATTCTGAAAGAGATCAAGTGTGACCCTTCCCCCCAAAATAAAATTTCTACCTTAATAGCTATGTAGATTTCATTAATACCCTTTAGTAAGTGTTACAGACTCACTATACTTAAAACCTGAGGGCTAAAACAGCAAAAGAAAGGAAAAAAGTATCAAGGCTTTTAGTACATCCTAAAACCAGGTGACAGAGCGGTTTTTAAGTCTTCTGAAAGGGTCTTACAGGCTACCAACTCCCTTCCCCATATAACTCCCACCCTTCACTCTGATCAGAATATTTCTTACCATTTATATTTCTATGAGTTTCATTTAAAGACAAAATTATGGTACTAATGTTTTTTAAAAATGCAATTTGCCTAGAACATAGACAAGTCTGAGATTTCTTCTAAACCGTTTAATTCAGCATACTTTGGTAAGACCTAGCTGGACCAACAGTCCACAGCTGATCGCATACAAACAGGTATACAGATCTACCAGTCTATAGTTCAGAGTGACTATTAAAGAACTGGAGACACAAAAGGAAAACCAGGAAACCAGAAGGTCAAAGTGGCACATATATAGAAATCCCTATGATTTCAAATTTACTGGCATGTGCCACTAGGCAATATGTTCGGACATGTGAAAACCAGTAACTTAGAAGATATTTTTGGACATTTCTTATTTGCCAACACGGACCTTTTTCTCTCCTAGGAAGCAATTATACTGCTCAAGTCCCCAAACTTCCATAGCCTTCATAACATTTTTCCTATTTAATTACTTTCCAAAGCCTGGGAATTTATTCTGAGATTTGCATTTTCACAAAAGAACTGCTCCTAACATCATAAAATGGCAAGACTGCTCAATAATAAGGTTCAAATACAAGGATCAGGCACAAAACACAAAAGGTGATTTATCACCAAATGAAGGCCTACCCAGAATAAGACTTAACTGATGGACCTAGGAAAGCACCATAGAGTGAGGACTGGCAGGCTTGATACTCTGGATCAAATGACCAGAATCTAATCCCCACTCTAGCCCACTGACTCTCACTATGCTTCCCTTGTACTGCTAAGTTGTCTTACAAAGAAAACCAAGTATACTTATGCTGACGCTCTTTCCGTATCAGCTTTGTTCTCCGAGATATTGCCTCAGTCAACATTGCTTTACTAAATCCCTTTTCTCTAATTTCTCTTTTTTCTAGAAAAGGCAGTAATATGACTTAAATCTTTGTATAAATTTTGAAGCCTTTATCAGAGGCTTCTTTTCATCAGCTATAACAGTGATGATAGAAAAAATTTATAAACAAGTTCAAGGGTAAGTTACATTTATAGAGCCATCAAGATAACCAGGCAGGGCCCAGTAGGTGACATGGTGGTTAAGGTGATGGTGGTTAAGGTGCTATACTCCCACATGGTCAACTGCAGTTTGAGTCCCAGACCTGTCAACATGACTTCTCACTTCCTCTCTGGTGAGCACATGTGCCCTGCACTAAATTAAAAATAATAATAATAATAAATAAAATTAAATAATTCTTTAAAAAATGGATAAGCAGGCAAAAATGAGCTACTGAATACATTTTATAAGATTTGTTTTTGCCACAAGGACTTAGGACAATGATTCTGGTACGATATCAGAAAGCTACATCCCAATTCTAGGTGAACAGATTATTACAGTATACGATTTCAGGAATTCTCCCCGTGATGTCAAAAGGCTTAATGATATAGTATTGAAATTTATCTTTAAAAAAAGTCATTGTTGGGGCCAGTAGGTGGAATGGTGGTTAAGGCACTTGACTCCCACGTAGCTAACTGCGGTTTGAGTCCTGAAGTTGGTGGCTTGCTTTCTCATTTTACCTCTCTCTCTGGTAAGCTAACATGCCCTACAGCAAATTTTTAAAACAGTAATAATAATAATTAAAATTAAATAAATAATTCTTAAAAAAAAATGTCACTGTTACTGGACTGTTGGTAACACTCCTAATTAATGTGTATGAAAATTTGTGATATAAAAGCCTGGAACGATTTACTTTTCAAATCTATAATTACAATAAAATCTGTCATCACAAATCTTGGTATTATTCTGATATCTAAGATTTGAAAGTTAAGTTTTACATTTAAAGGCTAGCCCATCCAACTCTAAAGCTGGATTAACTTTATATAGCTAAAACTTACCTTATAAATCTGAGGAATTACTACATAGAAATGTTTGTGTTGTTCTCCATTGAAGTTCTGTAACTGTGCAGCATATTCATTTTTATTCTCATCAGCCATATGTGTGCGCAGATTCAACTGCTGTTTAGCCTACAGGCAAATTGGTCCAAGTCATTATCAACAGCAACAACAAAATGACAGCAATTCGCTTTTCTAAAAATTATACTAACCTAGATCCTATCAATGGGGAAGCGAACACCTGACATCAAGAGAATAATGAAAAAGGAACCAGCAGTTGGTGTAATGGCTATGTCACTGAACTCCCATGTAGTTGACCGTGGTCTGAGTCCCGGACCTGGTAGCTTATACTGACACCAGGTGTATGTGCGTGCGTGCCCAAGATCCCAGAGGAGAATGAAGAAGGGATTGCAGTGTGGCCATCCCCTCAGGGGATAATTTCTCGCTTTCTGTCTCTCTCTCTCTCTGGCGAACACATACACACCCTATAGCAAAAACCTCTCTAAAAAAAGAGAGAGAGAGAGAGAATAATAAAGCAATTATGATTTTTTCCAAAATTTACAGTGATGCCTGCAGATGATGGTCAGAGTGATCTCCTTATCCCAATTTTCCCTTCCTCTAATTAACAGCAGTTCTCCCTTACAATAACCATTGCATAAAGTCTCTATTTACCAAATCCAGATTAAAAATAAATAAATGATGACATTATAGCTTGAAATAGTATACATTTATATCAGAACAGAAAAACAAGTAGCTTCAGGAATATTTTAGACATTTCAGGATATTTAAAAGACTTCATAGCAAAACATTTCTTTATGATCCACTTATATACAACTAAAATAGACCTAAAATCACAGTGAAAATAAATGATAAAAATGTGATTTCTTTCAATAATGTCATGTTCATCAATGATTTCCAGTTCTGTACAAAGCCACAGGTACTTTAAGAAATGCTTATTAACATAATATAGTTCTGTTCCTTTTCATTTCTTTTAGAAAATCAAATTAGTATTTACATTGATGAGAATATTAGAATAAAAACAGTTACATTCTAAATTTACTTAAGGGTAATCTAAACAAAAAAACAATTTTTTGAGAGGTTTTTGCTATAGGGTGTGTGTACTCGCCAGAAAGACAGAGAGACAGAAATCATCCCCCAGGGGGGATGACCACGCTGCAATCCCTTCTCCTCCATTCTCCTCTCAGGATCTTGGGCACACATGCACACATACCCCAGTGTGAGTTTAAGCCACTGGGTCCAGGACTTGAACTGCAGTTGACTACATGAGAGTCCAGCAACAAAAACATTTTCTTTCTTTTTTTTTGGAGAGGTTTTTTTGCTTTTGGGCGTGTCAGAGAGACAGAAAGCAAGAAATCACCCCCCGGGGGGATGGCCACACTGCAATCCCTTCTCCTCCATTCTTCTCTCGGGATCTTGAGGACGCACGCACACGTGCCCAGCGTGAGTTTTAAGCCCCCGGGGTCCGGGACGCGAACCACGGTCGACTACATGGGAGTCCAGTGACATAGCCATTACGCTAACTGCTGGTCCCAAAACTTTTAATTGTTCTAAAATAATAGGGAAAAAAACCAGTAAGAATTGAATTTGTTTTTTTACAGTTTCAAGGAATAATTTTACATGACAGTACTCTGGAAATTATAAAGCACATGAGAGTATGTTTCATTATTCTAATTCCAGTTTCTACAAATGTAGTTCCTAGCCTTTTAACAGGTCTATTAAGTTAGTTCTTCCTAACTCAGAAAACATACTGACCTATAGAAATACGTGGTAGCCAGGATCTCAGATAGACCCATGAAAGTGCATTTAATCTATAGTATACCTACAGATTATTATAAAGAAAAAAAGTACTGCGGATACTAAATAGCACGAACCAAATATTTCTATAGAAAAATACCTTTTAAGTTCCAACCTGGAATCCTCAGTACACTTACCCCTTCCTCTTTTCTCTTTCTTCCACAAACTATGGTGGAAAGGATTCCAAATTATTCCCCACCCACCAGACTTCATGTTTCTGTCCAGGGAAATTCCTTCAATTCCAAGTCAGTGGCTAGTCTTCCCCAGCCTAGGACAGAGGTCCCAGCAGGGTATACAGAAAACAGGTTAGGAAATAAACAATTAAAGCCTCCCTTAGTTCTCTAATAATGAAGTTGCAACAAGTAACAAAAAGAAAACTATAAACACTAAAATTCAGAACAAGTTAGGCCAAGCTAACTAATACACATTATATTTAGATTTCAAAATGTCTTGACTAGTCTCCAAAGACATTTTTGTACATAAAATGAAGAAATAAGTGAAATTAGAAGCCATATTAACATAAACGCAGTGTTCAGAGGGAAGGTAATTAAACTAAGGACTGGTCAGACCATAACTAGATTATGTCCAATTTGAGCAAATTATTTTAAGTGGGATACTGATAAATTAAAGAGTATCCAAAGAAAAGTAGTCATAATGAAAGGTAACTTGAAACTATTTCACTCGTGGAACAGTTGAAGAAACATGATAATTCATCTAGGGACAGAAAATCTGCTGCAGATATATAAAAGCAATTATGAAAAAAAAAAGAGCTGATAATGTTTTATAGTACCTCAAAAAGCCTGAAACAGAGAGACCCAAGAGGGTCAACATAAGGAAACATTAAAGCTGAAATAAAAAGAATATGAGCATGGGGCCAGAAGGTGGCATGGTAGTTGAGGGTGCTGGACTCCCTCATGGCTGATCACATTTCAAGTCCCCGACCTGGCAGCTTGCTTTCTCACTTACTTTCTCTCTCTCTGTGTGTGTCACTCTGTCTCACGCTGGTCAAATTAAAATAAGTAAATAAATAAATAAAGTTAAAATAATTCTTTAAAAAAAATATATGAGCAGACTGCCTTGAGATTGCACATTTCTAGACAGGGAACTTAGTGTAAGCACAGATACAAGTCACTAAAATAGGATAGAAAATGTACAAGAATAAGCTATACAAGAAGACCTTTATGGTAACTGTAACCTCGAATCTATACAATTTTGAGGGTTTAACTGGTTTAAAAAAAAGAAAGAAAGAAAAGAGAGGAAATAAATCATTCCTCTTTCCTCTCTTCCTTTTTTCTTATTCTGATCCTAGGCAATCATAAAATCCTAAGAAAATACTTTAATGATGGTCCTTCATATGCATTAATGTAAAATAAGTCTCACCTATATTTCAAAATCTCAACTTTTCAGCTCTACCGCTGTGTCAAATATTCTGAGAAAAAGAGCATATAGAAGCATAAGAGCATTTTATGTACAGAAAGGTCTTTTAAGACTCATCAAACATCTTGAAATTTAGACATAACATAAGTACTAGTTAGCTTGGCCTAAACTGTTCCAAATTTTAGTGTTTATAGTTTTATTTTTACGCTGATTTGTTGCAATTCACTTTGTTATTAGAGAACTAGTGGAGGCTTTCATTGTTTTAGCTCCTAATCTGTAACAGCAGGTTATAGGCCTGATCCTACCAGTAGTGACACTACAGAGCACGTGGCACAGCAGTGACAAGAGTCAGGTTTTCTAAAATGAATCAACAAGCAGCTAATATCTCCTACTCCTGACAGTTTTATCATACTTTCCCTTATAAGTTGGTAAAGCACACTACCCAAGACCTATTCTCATATACGCATCAACGCATCTTAGGCTTTCTATACTACTTTTTAATAGGACAGAAATTCAATTCGAAAGCAACTATGTCTTTTCTCAGTATTTCAATGGTAAGATACTACAATAAATTAGCACACATTATCTTCTCAGATCAGTATGTGTAATATAAAGTATGCAAATACTTGTGTATTTTAGATTTAGATGCAGTATCTCTCTTGAGGAAATTCTTACATTGATACAATTGATGCAAGTAATAATATTTTGATATCAAAGTTAGTTTGGATTCTTACCTTTTCGACATCTGCCTTGGTTGCATTAGTATCGTTATCCAATCTTTCATAACTCTGTTGTGCCTTTTCTGCCTCTCTACATTCTCTTTCAAATTTCTTTTTACTCTGTTAAAAAAAATACCACACTAAGAAAATTAGATTTATCTCATTTAAAATAACTTTAAATTGTTGCCACAGTGTATTATGTAGAAACGAACTACAAACTATTTGTCCTTTTTGAACTAGAAAGTAAATTTTACTGTTAAAATCAATTCATGTGACTTAAATATCAGACATTAAAGACTATGAAGAAAAAATAATACATACAACTGAGTTACAATTTATTATGTACCTCATCTCATTTAAAAAACATGTTTTGCAATTTTTTATTATAAGTTCATCTTCGGCAGGAATTTTTGGGGT